GCCCCTCTTCCCTCCAGCGCTTCATCCCACGGCACCATACCAAGCAGCTTCTTCAAGAGGCCAAAGTCAGCTCTCCCAAAGTCCAGGGCGGTCAGCCTGCTGCACACTTTCCTCACTGCCTCGAGGATCTCAAACTTGACCATTTCATGGTCACTACAGCCCAGGCTGCCCTTGAGTTTGACACTGTCTATCAGTCCCTCCTTGTTGGTAAGGACAAGGTCCAGCATAGCTCCTCTCCTCATTGGTGCCTCAATCACTTGGAGAAGGAAGTTGTCCTCAATACAGTCCAAGAACCTCATGGATTGCCTATGCCTGGGTGTGTTACCCTTCCAACAGATGTCAGGGTGGTTGAAGTCACCCATGAGGACCAGGGTCTGTGAACGTGATGCCGCCCCTATCTGTCTATAGAGGGCTTCATCCACTTGGTCTTCTGGGTCGGGTGGCCTGTAGCAGACCCTCGCTGTAATGTCCCCTGCTCCTGATTTCCCTTTAATCCTGACCCATAGGCTCTCAGTTGGATCATTATCTAACCCTAGGCTGACCTCCATGCATTCCAGCTGCTCGTTAACATATAAGGCATATAACATATGCCTTAACATATAACATAACACCTCCTTGTTTCCCTTGCCTGTCTCTCCTGAAGAGCCTGTAGCCTTCCATGGCAACACTCCAGTCATAAGAGTTATCCCAGCAAGTTTCCACAATACCAATGAGATCGTAGCCTTGGAGGCGTGCACACATCTCTAGCTCCTCCTGTTTTTTCCCCATGCTCCATGCATTTGCATAGAGGCACTTCAGCCGTGTCTTCGTTGAGGCTGACTTGGCTGGAGCAGCTGTAATTACTTTGTGCTGCTCTCCAGGCGGCGTTCCTTTGCCAAGTATTAACAGTGCCTCCGCATTGGCTCCTGTTGGTCCAGGAGCTCCTGGCTTGTCTACCTAAGACGTTGAGCATCCTGCAGCATAGCCAGCACATTTTGGAGCTAATGGCTGCAGGCCCTCACCAGCACCCTGTTCCTCTTTCCTTGGCACAGCTGGTGACGGGCAAACCCGATAATACCCTCTTCCCCCGTCGAATCTAATTTAAAGCCCTGTTAATGAGCCCTGCTAATTTTTGGACGAAAACCCTTTTCCCTCTTAGAGTGACCCAGCCCCCATCTGCTGCCAGCAGGCCTGGTGCCGCGTAGGCCATTCCATTGTTGAAAAACCCAAAATTGTGGTGGTGACACCAGCCACGGAGCCACGTATTAACAGACTGAGCCTATCTGTTCCTTTCAATGTCATTGCTCGCAATTGGAAGCAGGGATGAAAAAATAACCTGTGCTGCAGATCCCCATAGTGACTGACCAAGGCCCTAGTATCTCTTTTAATCATTCTTGCACTCCGATCTGCACATTCATTGCCCCCCACACGGAACAGGAGCAGCAGATAGCAGTCTGTGGGCTGAACCAGGCTAGAGGGTCTCTTTGTGATGTCCCTAACCTGTGCTCCAGGGAGGCAGCAGACTTCCCTGAGAGTGGGGTCTGCCCTACATATCGGGCCCTCAGTCCCCCTCAGAGCTGAGTCGCCCACGATTATAGCCCTTCTTTTCCTCCTGGTAGCAGTGCTCTTAATGTGATGAGTAGGCCTCTCTGGTCCTGGTGGCTCCTGTGATGTATTAGGACTGTCAGCCTTGTTGTCCTTAGCCTGTTCTACCACGTCCAGGGCCTCGTACCTGTTGTGTAGTGGTACAAGGGGAGGGGAGGCGGGCAAGGAGGGGGCTCGCTTGCTGCGCCCACTGCAGACTTGCCTCCATTCACCATTTTCCGGTAGGCCACTGCCTTCCGTCCCAGAGGAGACATAGAGAGTAGTTGTGTGACTGGACAAAGCACTTGTGTTGTGACTGGAGAGGAAAAACTCATCAGCTGCAGAGGGAGTTTAAGTCTTTGCCTGGTCTCCATTTGCTGTTTGATCTTCAAAGCATCCAGGAATATCTGCTGTTGTCTGGCTAGCGGGATGATTTGGAATAGGTCTTGAGGGACGGACACGTTGGCTGCTTCGCAAAAAGTTTTCATTAAAAACTACCTGTGAATTAACAGTGAAATCCAAACTCATAATGCTTTTTGTTTAAATAAAGGAGACAAGGAAAAACACTTGGGCATTTTCAGTTGTTCTGGTTTTCTCTATGCTGCCCTCCTCCTCCCTGGAGCCCATCATTTCCCCAGCCATAGGCCTAGGATTAGTTTTTTCCCCCAAGAGAAGGAAAAACTGGATTCTGGGATGACTTAAACACCTGTTGGCCCCTGCCACTGTGGTGGGTCTCTTGGCTGAATCTTTGTACGTCATATGTAGCCATGAAGACTGAGAGTTGGGGGTGGTCAGCCTGGAGAAGAGAAGGCTCTGGGGAGATCTTAGAGCCCCTTCCAGTGCCTAAAGGGGCTCCAGGAGAGCTGTGGAAGGACTCTCAATCAAGGAGGGGAGCCACAGGATGAGGGGGAACAGTTTTAAACTGAAAGAGGGAAGATGTAGATTAAAAATCTAATTTTCTAATTAAAAAAAAAAACAAAACAAAACAAACCCACAACAATTTGATCTTAAATGAAATTCAAAATTTATTTGCATGCTCTGATTTGAAAGAAGAGGAGTGCAGTGCGTGATGCAGGAATGAAACTCCTGCTTGCTTTTGGTGTAAAGCTCTCGCCTCATCAGCTCTTGTCCCTTAATGCACATCAGGACTATGAGGTCCTTGTCTCTGCCCCTTTTCCGGGGCTTTGCCAAACTTTCAGGAAAAGAAGAACTGAAATTTGGTCCTTATTTGGTTCTCAGGTCTTTTTTTTGCATCCAGTGCCATGAGTGCACCAGGGGCCTTTGTAGATGCCAAGAATCTGCAAGAGTGTGACAAGCGTGCTCGCAAGCAAGAGGGGGCTGTGGAGGTCTAGGACAAACATTGCTTGCAGTTGCAAGTGCAATTAAAAATGGATGAGAAAGGCAGCAAAACCTAAAGCCACAATGTTTTTACAATGCGTCTACAGCCTTGGTGAGAAATTAGGCCAGAGTGAGAAGCGAGTTTGGCTGTACTTGAGAAAAATGCCGCTTCTGCCTTATGAAAGTGAGTTTCTGACATGCAGTTGTACAAACGTGTCACTCGGCAGTTTGAGTCCCAGCTGGGGCACCATTTGCGCTGTGTGAAGTACCTTGTCATGTCTCCTCCTAACCCCATCCCACCCCATGTGCCAAACAGTGTCTGGATGTGCTGGCCCCAAAGCATGTCCATCTGGAAGCATCTGTAATCCCAGCCCAGCCACCGAGGTAAAGCAGCGGAGCAGAGTGAGATCCGTGTCCCAGGGCCTGGGCTGGCATCTCAGTGGCATCTTGGTGGCTGCCCAGCTGTGTGCTGGTCTGGTGCTGTCAGAGTCCCACGGGTGACAGCTGAGGATACAGCCCACAGCACAACAGAGGGATTTATTCTGTGCCTCGGGCCGTCCTAGTGGCGTACGGGTGGCTTGCCTTTGAGGAAAGTGGGCACCTTTCTGCAGGATCGAGGCAGTTGGAGGTTGCGCCGCAGATCCCAAAGGCTGTAGTCAGCCTCTGCAAGTAACCAGTCATGTAGGGCCTCACAGTATTTAGAGGCTGGGTGGCTTCCAGAAACTAGAGGACTAGAAAGGAAAAACTGCCTGCATTTTGCCAGTTGTCTTTTGAATGTCATCCCCAACAGTTTCATAATCATGTTCAGCGTCATTGGTCTCTGTGCCTGGAAGGGAAGAGAGCACAGCCTACAGACATGCACTGCCATGCACTGCGGGGGAGGCCCCGACCTGCCCTCCCCACAGACACGGCAGGGACCTGGGGAGGGGGGAGAAGAGCCTCTTGTGGTGTGATGGCAGCTGCTCTGCCACTGCAGACACCAACCTCTGGGGCCACGTCCCCTGCAATCTGGGGATAATCTTCAATAACAGACAGAGGAAAAGGGCTTGTTGGTGCTGTTTACCATGACATTGGCCATTGAGGTGAAGCCTTGCTTCCCCTCGTGCCATGGTCCCCGTGTGGGACAAGGGGTCGGGACGTCCTCCCCATAGGTCCCTCTGTGGAACAAGGGGATGGGGCAGACCCTGAGGGTACCCCCAACCTGTGGGACACAGGGGTGGGGCGATCACTCGTGGGTCCTCCTCTGCACCAGGGATGAGGGGATCGGGAGGTGCAGCCCCCATGGGGGCCCAGCTGGTGGGGGTGCAGACACTCCCATCTCAGCATCCCTGCCCCAGGTCCCCATAAGGACAGCCCGGGGGAGGTGGTGGCCAGCAGCACGATCCACTGATGCTGCTGCGGGGGTCCCGTCCTCCCACCATGGCAGCATGTCTGTGGCCCAAGCCCTGCAGAGGGGCCGTGGCCTGGGAGGTGCCAGGGGCCTTACCTGCGTCCCTGGGGGCTCTCCGCTGGCCGTACAGTTTGGGGGTGCTCGGCCGGGGCAGGGCCGGGAGCGGTGGCAGTGGAGAAGCTGGGCAGGTGCTCACTGGCAGGGAGCCAGGAGCCA